AGCTCTGGCAGTGTTTGGTAGCATGAGATACATTTTTGAGAACACTGATTGACAGAAGTGTCTCTCCTCAAAAACATTTCAGCACCGCTGGTGTTTCCGTGATCGGAGGGCCCACAGACTTAAACATGTTCAGAGGTGTGAGAAAGTCATAAAGATGCGAAGCCTGAAATGACGGTGGCATCGACAGGAAACTAAACATTCCCGCATTTCCCTCGGACTGATATGCGCGCAGTGCGCCATTGCTGCATTTGAGTTTTGTTTACTGATATAGAAGGTCAGGTAGACTGATGTCCTAGCCAAGGTATTTGATGTCTCGCGTTTGTATGGGCCCACCCAGCATTTAATAACAATCGCCACCGCCGAAGGGCTTCCTTCTACACTTCCATCCTATTACATCAGGACATATTCGCTGTTTTGATGGGTCAAAACAGCTCATGCATATCGTCGAGATAATTGCAAAAGAAGAGAACTTGGAAATCCTACAAATATAAGTGGACATAGCCGTCCAGGTCTGCACTAAAAATGTAACATCTCAATAACGTGAGGGAGCGCCGAATGGGGTTCGATGGGGACCGAATGGGGTTCACCGAACCGGCAGAGGGAGGAGGACGGGATTTCGCGCTGCACGCAACAAACACAACCACCCTCCTGGCTCCTCCCTCAAAACCCCAGGCTTCGCGCTCTCCGTGGCCTGAGAAGCATAAAAGCCAAATTTCCTCGCCGACCACACGGTATATACAGCCATAACCCCAACGATCGGTGGGGTGTCCATCTATATCACGCAACGGACCCTTGCTCCGGCAGCGGGCCGGGTGGCTCTGGCAGCGTTACTGATTTGTTGAGAAGGAAAGAAAGCAAACGGGAGGTGAGCAAGGTGTGAGTAGTCTCATCTGGATAGATATCAGTAGGTGTCATCGCTGTTGACTTCAGTGCATCGGGGCCTGTTTTGCAGACACATTATGACAACACAAATATGAGATGTAACACCGTGTCTATGGTGAATGTTTTATGTGTATGAGGTCAAAGGGGCATAATTTGCAGTGCATCTACTTAAAAGTATCGACTTCCGATATTTCAAGCACTGTAGTAATGTGCAAAATCAAATACGCCCCACGTTTCGCCATTGCCTTTACATCTCTTCAAAAACGGACTCGATCGATCGTCATTAACTAACGACTCCGCCATGTTGTTTAGCCATGCCAACATGTCTCCCTTTAATAAATCGTTAATCAGGCTCATTCTCTTGCTTGAATAAAAGGGAGTAACTACATTTGCTTCAGCTCAATCTCCCTCCATTTTCACTATTCCATTCCGTCCCCATCTTTGATCCTTTGATGTAAAATGTCACAATCGCCGCAGACAAAAGCTTGCGTAAGAGCTGGCCAGTTCCATCCAAAACTGGGCGGCACCCCCATTTCCCGCACGCACCCAAAGGCTTTCAGAAAACCGGCACGCAGTGCTTCAATCAGATCGCTGCGAAAAACTCGCTACTCCAAAGTCAAGGTTGCGTTCGGCAGGTGTACGGTCACTGTTGTGAAATTGGCACAATAGCTACGACGACAGCACAATCAATGATATCCTGGCTTTGTGGCGTGCTAATTATTCCATGACGGACACTCTCAGTGTGGCAACGAAACACAAAGTACGCGCTCCAGACGCATGGCCTTTACAAGACAGAACTATCCCCTGAAATGCACACGTCTTACACGTCAACGTCTAGGTCTGTGAAGTCCGTGCTCGGATCCTGTATTTAGGTTAAGTAGGCATCCATATGGTCTGCTTCGTTCTGACTACTGCGGTTACTGGCGGAGAGCAAAGTGCGAGTGCTCGCTTTTATTGGTTTGGAAGCATAAGTGGATGAACGACGCTTACCGTCTGTGCAACGTACATGGTAGGAATCACTCCTTTCACAGATGCCGAACGTCGATTTGTATCCATGAGAAAATAGGTGTTAGAAGAGAGCATAAATAGATTCACCGGGCGCGAAGCGCAGAGCACTTACTATGCGGGTTGTAACATGTTACCGCTTGCAACACTTCCATGTGGAAAGCGGTAGTTACGTGCGGCTAAATGATGGGCTTTCGGATTCGAGCGGAGTCAAAAAAGGCGACACATGATTACTTAGTTGTGTGCTGTATTCACGTCTATGCTGCGCTTGGGCTAAAACTGAAGTGGTATAAGAGCTGGCTTGAATCACATGCTGGCTAATAATGCGTTGCTCCCATGAATATAGTGACTAACTCCTGGGTCCAGGTCATCTTCTTGGGAGAAAATTAGCACGCCATTTTGCGTAATTGCCTGTGTTATGAGTATTCCAACGTCTGCGATGACTTAAAGGTAGATTACTCACCCAAAACATATTTCTTAGCTATATTTTTTACCGGCGAGGACGCAGATAGATGACACTAACGCAATCCCTGTCCGTTTCAGCCAGGGGCTCGACACGTTATACTGGGGTCCCTGTACCATTTATCGGGCTTTCTACGCCGGTAAGGGATCCTTCCACGTCATCGAGAGACCCCTACGTCGATCCAGGACTGTATGATGTACTCTTCTAAGCGTCTCTGGATCGACAGGGGGTCCGGTCCCACCTTCACCAGAATCCCAGCCGGCGGGCGGCAGGTACCCCGAACTGGGACGGAAGGGCTCTTAAGAGCGCCCCCTGAAGCAAAAGCGTAATGTGCTTCCTAGTGTTCCACACATCGAACCCCCTATCTGAGAAAACAAGGGATCTCCGTAATATCTGATGGCGTGGATTGAATCTGGCTGAACAAATTGCATAGACCTGGCCAGTAGATGCTTGCCTGACGAAGCCCGTCTGATTTCAGAATCAGTTGGTGGATAAATAGTCCTTTGCATGCACTCTGGAAACCTAATAATAAGCATGGCTTCAAGCGTCGAGTACTGTCAATATAAACAACGTTTGTTCGATGGCATTGTTTAACCACTACCTCCTGGCATTGGTCAACACACGCCCGGGTTGTCGGTTGAATGCAACGCGCTCGGTTGAGGATGAGGCAAAAGTGACCCTGACATCTCAAAAATTTAGAGAGAGATATGCAGCAAGTATGGTTAGAGATACCAATTTCATGCAGTAAGTATGCCTCTATGTGGTGTTTCAGCAAAGCAAACAACAAAGCAGCCCTAACCCTTATTAGCAAAGCCTCCTAAAGCAAGCTTTCCAATAATGAAGTGATTTGTTTTTACCTTGATCTGATATCTATATTTCACCCAATGTCGATGAAATTGTTTAAAATCCTGATGTCAACAGTCTAATGGCTTACAAAAACCTAAAAGTTGCATGACTGCAACACCTGTTATATTATATATACACACACGTATAATATGCACACGTTGTCGTGCCATACTGAGCGATTCCCTAACAGTCGCCTTTGCTGACAGCCATGGCCTGACTTTGACCTGCCGTATATCGCCAACCTTACAATGTATATATATATATATATATATATATATATATATATATATATATATATATATATATATATATATATATATATATATAGCTCCTACAGTTGCCCTACTGCTACGGCTTGGCACGAACGCGCTCCGTCGCTCGGAAGCTATTTTTGAGAGGAAAAAAACATCATGGGGAGGCCAAATTGATCTTCCTAGCTCAACCCAAATCCGTGCTGAGACTTGATATAATAAAGCATTCAGAATACTGATTTCTGATGCATGTTCGTTTTCACCAGCCCGCTGTCTGCCACTTGGTGTTAGCTGCGGACTAAAGCTACATGGGCTGCGGAGACTGCAACGCCGAACATCGCTGTTTTTTCTCCGAAAGATTACGAACGATTATGCTCCAACCATTTCATGTAATGTTTTTGCAACTCCTTTGTAATGAAACGCTGAAAGCAAACAAGCTTACAATAACTGATAATATGGACAAAATTTTTGAGCCCCTTTTAATCTTTCGTAATGTGTTTATGTTTTAATCTTCCACAGTGTCCCTCAATATCTATGTAAAACACCGAAAGCATTCCGGCAACGCTCCTGTTCGGTTAAAGTATGGTGAAGGGTTTCATAAATCACTCAAAATGAGCAGCATCGGCACCGGTACCATTCGACGCGGCCTTTTGTTGCCTGCTCCGCCCATCCCATTCAATTGCACGGTACTTTCTTTGATGTCTCGCTTTTTTCTCCTAGTTTAAGGAGGCAAAAGAGGGGTAAAACAGAAGAAAATAGGCCGTTACAGTAAAGCAGACCAAATAGAGCGAACGGTTGTTTTTAGCGCATTGGGCTATTGAATTGGCGACCGTTCACCAGCTTCAGTATCCCCATTCCTTGGAAAGACTATTTGCGCATGCGCACAAACAAGCCTAGCGTTCCAAATATTTTCGTTTTAAGGTCTTCCATGCACGCTATTGATTTTACGCAGGATGGGCCCTACGACATTTGGGGACCTCTAAACAAACGCGTCTGTGATATGTGGCGTTGGCCACCCAAAATTGATCACTATACGCTGATTTGTGAATATGTCAGAGAAAACGCCAAAGCAAGCAAGCATCTCGCCCGCACCTAATTGCGTTCAAGGCGCGAAACTTGCCAGGGAATTTTCCAACGACACACGGCGTACCCCTGTCGCTCATCGAAATCCTGCGTGTGATACGGGTGCGTTGAAAGGGACTGCAGTGCGCAGCACCTGCAGCTTCCCTGTGCGACTTTCAGGACACACCAGGAAAACATCCCCTCGGCGCCGTCTGCAGGCTTGGGGCTGCCAATGACCGGGCTCGATTTTACCGCTCCGGTCCTCCGTCGGCGGAAAACGCCCGGCGCGAACAGCTGCGGCGCGGGCCAAGTGCGGAATGCGGTCTGAGCAAGATCGGAATCGGAATCCGCCTGTATCTGGAGTGGCTGAGTTGGGGGGGGGGGGGGGGGGGGGCGCTGGAGATTCGTCACCACTGGTCAGAGCGACTTACTGCACCAGTTTCCTCGCGGGAGAGGCTGAGAAACAGCAGCGAGGGGGAAACTGATGACCGCCGACAATGTCGATGTTTCTGATCGTCTGGAGGAAAGATTAGCTTTTGCGTGCGGCGCTGAGTGGGTTGAAACACCGCGGGGGAGCGTTGGGATGTGGTGGTTGAAATGGCTTGTTCTTGCTAACGCCGATGAACTTGGCTAAACCGGTTCATACAGCTTTTATAAGGTGTGACATTCACAAGCTCATTGTTCACCGAGAGAGGTCTGTTTCAAGTTGATCGTTTATTAACCGGATAACATGACTCTTAAATGTTTTTTCTACAAAGTATCTGTTCGGGGTCGTGACGAACGATGCGGAATCCTTGGCATACTATTCATAATGGTGGCGAGCTGATTACCACGCACTCCTTCATGCTAATACAATGCGCGGTAAAAATGTCGTGCGAACGGTACATATTTCATTTTGGCGACAGCCAAACCGTGCTGCGGAGAACCTCCATACAGATACAGCCAAGAAATACTTGGATTCGCCATTTTCCCCTGGTCTATAATGCACCTAATTAGATTACTGGTGTTTGATGTATAGTGCAGCACGACAGAAAGTGCAGCCAGGGTTACACAACTGCTTCTTTGGTGTCACACACAACACGAACAAATGTCGCACGTACGGAGTGACGTAACTCTCACGCCATCATCACATCATTGAACGAGCCTCACGCCGGCTTGGTCGGAGCCGCCGCCCTCTGCATCCAGCAGACTCCTCGCGGCAACACAAACAGTTGATTCGTGTCCAGCATACACGAGAGGCCCGGCCAGCCAGCCTCAGCACACACACACACGTTCCGGCGCGCATGCGCACGTCCCCATGCCGGCGCCAGCCCGAGAACACGCGCACGTCGCAGTGCACTTCGGACGAGCACAAATCCAAACACATGATAACACATGCGAGGCCGGCTAAGCCCGGAGACCGAATCATGTCACCCCAGCTCGGATCTGGAGGAGACTCGGGATCCCAGACAGGACGGTGCGTCCCTGGCTGGGGCCGAGGCGAGCCGGTGCCGGAGGGAAAGGCCCCAGACAGGGTCACAAGGATCAAAAGCAGACAGTGGCCGTTGGATGCTGGTCCCGTCTTGTTCGCAGGTTTCAGACGCGGCTGTGGCTTTTGTTCGGTGAAGACGTGTGCTCACCCGCGACCGGCGACCAGAGCCAGAACCACCATCACCAGCGAAGGCACCGGCACCGCTGCCGACCCGCTGAAGCAGGGTCATGACCCGTCAGAAGAGGTTCGGTAGACACAGTTGTAATGTTTATCAGGTCACACTTTCGGTCACAGGGTCGTGAGGGCGGTGGGGGGGGGGGGGGGGGGAGTAAGGGCACGCGCAACGGATATCGGCTGACAACCTGGGTCATACAGTCATGACCCCACAGACCGGGGGGCGGTAGATACAGCCACAGGGGTGACAGGTCGTTATCTGGATCACGGGGTCGTGCCCTGTCAGACCCGGGGTGAGCTAAAAAAAAAAACGCTGACAACATGAGATCACAACCCCAATCGCAGAGTCGTGGCACAGCCGGCTCCAAGAATGGCAGAGGTGTGCGCAGGGCAACGACGGCTTAGTCGCACAGAGGAGCAGTATTAAAATTAATTGACATAATAAGGTCAAAGTATGGGCATGGCTTGATTACAGTAAACTCTCGTGCTCTGTTGTCATGCTCATGCCCGCTTTAAAAAAAAATGTTTGCGCATAACGGCGTGGAAAATATTTCATGCAAAAGGTGATAATATACGGCACCAAGAGGCGTGCAATGTCTTTCACCACGCCTGACGTGGCGAAACATAGCGGTACGGCAACGCTCCACACCAGCGGAATATTCCCGTAGACCGGGCCAACCAACGGCACAATACCAGATAAAAACGCATCCAGATAGTCAATAGTGAGCAAAGAATACAGCAGTGTTTAAAGTGGTGGGTTATTACATGGTACATGGGAGCCGAGCCTGCAATGCCTTAGGCGATAACACCCTCCCCCTATTGTTTTACTGCACGTTCTCGAAATCAAGGACTATTGACCGTATCCATGCACCGCGTTTTGAAAGAAATTGTCCGCTCTGGTTAGATAACGCGCGTGACGAATCGGCACAATGAGTTGCTACAGTTTTCCACGGAAACTGTGCAGCTGCGAGGGAAATATGCCAGCAAAGCCTTGACATTACGGAACAACACTTTCCTTGCGTACAACAGCACATGCAGGGTAATAACGGCGCGAAAAAACGCAGCAATATTCGGCAGAGAAACATCGACCTTCCGCATAAGTCAATGTCTCTACCAGCGCCAAGGTGTGCTCCAAACCAATGCGTGTTATAATGAGCGAAACTATGAGATACATACGGTGCGTTTCTTAAATTCGCGGTGTGCTGAGGTATGCTGGCGGTGGTGACGCCGTCTGCAATCTAAACTGCCATATAACTACACTCTGTCGCCATAAGTTGGACAGATACAGCAGGGGCAAGTTGAGGAATGATGCGCAAGCTGCGGGTAAAACAAATACGTTTACTTGTTTAGTGATATTGTCAGGTGGCTTCCTGTGCTACAGGATGAGAGATGTAGAAGTAGCACCTCCTAGCACTATTATTTCTCCTTTTTTGGTTCCTGCTTATCCGTCTTCGATCGGAGATCAGTTTTCTTGGACTTTCCACCGTCCTTGATTTCCTTCATCAAGCTCTTCCTCTTCTCCGCAATCTCTTCGTACGCCGCGTCGATGACCTCGAACTTTTTTATTACGCGTCGCAGGAAGTAGGCGAGCGCAAGAGTCACCGACGTGGGTATCACGACAAACCTGATCCAGAACGTGGAGTCCCTGGCACGGGACACACTAGCGTTACGCATGCTCCGCCTGCCACTCTGGCTCCAGCGTTAACGAGAAACAGCTCAGTAATGATAGCCATCTCTCGAAATATCCGTGAACATCTTATGCAGCGGGATAGTTGACACACAACTTCCAGCCATGAAGCTACTACAAAGTGGGAAAGTAAAATTCGAACATGATTATAGCCGGTAATAAATGGTGAATGAGTGGCAACAGCAGGTATCTGGGTGTACGTCAGGGCACCACGAGAACGGACGTCACAAACTCAAGGGTACGGCACGTGCCTGAGAAAACCCTTCTCAGCCGGGCCAGGCTTCAGTGGCTGCGGCCTTCAGTGCGTTGATGCATTGACTCAAGACAGCGCTCTGTGAGCTGGCAAAAAAGTTTTGAAAATTTGCAAAAATCTCGAACACTAGGACGTTTTTTCAAGAATAAAGCTCACTGTTCCAAGAAGATACTGAAAGCTGTTTGCGGTGTTTGTTGATATAAAATCGCAGCATATTTCGAGCTCATTTCAGATAATTGCTCACAATTCTAAGTGCCTTGTAACACCTCAAACGTATGACAAATAACCTGCCATGTTTTGCCAAGGCCGTCCAAATTTGCGCGGCAAAAATACTACATCATTTTCACAAATGACAGAGACGTATAAACGAACTGAGGTTATGCTGCATGTTGCCAAGTGTACAAATGTGGTATGTGCTGTCGTCTTAGCTCCATAGCCTTCAAAGTGGATGCGCCACCCGCGCCTCCCAGTTTTCGTGGCATCCCGAGCTATGTGGAAAAATTAATGTTTTCCCACCAATACGCCGTTGCCGGCTGGGGCGAAAACAGGATTTTGCATCGGGTGGCACACCTCACAATTTGTGGTTTGAAAAATGCTTGTGCGGCGAAGGTGCGGACAATGTCTTGCATGGCATGTACGAATGTGGCGTGTTTGTAATCCACTTATCTTGGCACGCTTACTTCCATATTCTAACTGTACACGCTATTCACATACACATCAAGCCATGCAAAATGGAATGATGGAGACCCTCGTGTCCTCCAGCGCCCTCAGGGTCTAAAACACCTTCCCTTGACACACACACACACACTTGGCTCTCAGTAACATAACTTTGCCTTTAGAATCCCTCCCCCCCTGGCAAATCGGATCTGCCCCTCCGCGCGTCCCCCGCACTGTCCGGGCAGGCCTGGTGGCGGCGAGATGACGTCTGTCCGCCTGGGTGGGGCGGCAATTGTTTGAGTTAAACAAAATTAATGTTCGCCATTATCGGGGTCCTATAAAAGGGAATGTTCCACATCTATATGGGGTTTTGAACTGAAATAGCCATCTTGAAGGCCTTTCGGTGATGTTCACAATTCTGCCCTTCTTGAGACGTAAGTGTGGTTTCCTAAAACCTAATTTCTGAGCTACGTGCCCACGGAAACGGGAAAGGTACATCGGGGGAGCATTTCAAAGTCACCTTGACATTCATGACGTATAATAACGTCACTGAAATCCGGTCATTCAACAAGCCGTGTGGCAATCAAGGCTAATGCAAGTATAGTTGTCGAGGCATTCATATCTGGCGTTCGAGAGCACAATTGCCAACTATAACGAAACGTCGATTGGCTCTAAAACAATGCTGTGCGAGGTGCGATGACGTAATCAAAGCAGAACGCATTGATGAGCATATTTACTACACAGAGAGTTGTGTTACCTAGAACAGCCTTTTCCACCTAGAAATTATATCTGTAGTCATAAATGAGCTTGTTTCATTATATCTGATGCTTGCTTGAATATTTTAAAATGTTAAACAGCCCGTTATTAAGAAGAATGCGCTGCGTGTTCCTCGCATGTTTTTGGGTTGTTAATAAATGAAGTCGAATGAAACCTTAACTTGAGCGTCAAGCTGGCGTCGAAGCGTAAAGAAAATATATGTGCACTTGGCTTATCAAATTGTTTACTGCTTGAGCTGATACAATTGTCTCAATCAATTTGACAACATTTTTGCCCTCGCCCATCGCATACAAAACCGGCCAGGAAGGGCAAGCTCTAGTTCTATCGATTGTTCTAAAAAGGGGAACAGCCCCTGGAACGTGATGCGGTCGCACACAGGTGTGACCGTATCAAACATTGCAAGAGATCATTTTCGTCAAATCTTTTCTTTTCGCTGCCGTGCCATTTCACTTGGATCATTTCCCATCGCCCAGTCACGCCGTAATGCGAGGCAAGAGAAGCTTGACGCGGAAGAACAAGGCCCCTAACACAACCTAACACACCCAGCCAAAACGACGTCCCAATGAGACTCAGCATTACCCACGCCCTAAACCAGCTTCATTCACTTCATTTCGCAACACAGCACAGGCTGAAATACCGGGGAAACCTGTGAGTACATGGCCTCGTGATCACGAGATAGCCCACAACTCCACTTACAAGAACGGGTCGTTGAGGTCCATCTCGAACGGCGGGGTGTTGGTCAGTCCCGACTGGCGAATACGGACCTCCTCGAGAGGCCGGTCGCCGGGACCCACCGGCAGATGCTCGATCCGATGCACCACGTCCATTCCGCTGGTGACCTGAGGTCGCCGGACCAGGGGTCAGCAGGTCACCTCAGGCCAGGTTATCGGCACAAGGAAGTGACGGAAGAAGCTGTTTTGTGTGTGGGGTAAAACACGCATGGTCAAAACACGAAGTTTTGAAAGGTATTTTGGAATGTGTCGGCGAAAATGAGGTGAACCAAAACTGGACACCAAGAGCCCTGTGCTGCAGATCGCAAACAGTCGCAATATCGTGTAAAAGCATGTGCTGGCCTGTACATCTAAATGCACATAAAGCGCCATGCATTTACCGAAGCTGACCCGCAAAGTAAGCTGACTAGCCTAACGTTATCATCAGTTGCGCTCGCGTTTAGTCGCATCATGCCATCCCCGGCATACCCTGCGCGCCAACTTCTTCAGGCTCTCTATAAATGTCTCCCGCCCAGTGTCTGCGACGTTGTCTGACCCAACCCTGATCTTGTCCAATTTCTTAAATAATATCTCACCCGAGTCATCGCAATGACCGGCATGAGAGATTGCAATACTCGTACATATGACAGTCAGATACTTTGTTACCAAGCTACTTCACGTGCGTCAATTAACAGTCTCGGTTACTGTGTCAATAAATCTAACTGACTTAACAACATTGATAAAGCTTTATCTCCAATGTGCCTGCCACTGATCGAAACAAATCTCGATCCTGACCTTGCCGAAGACGACGTGGGTGCCGTCGAGCCAGGGCGCGCGCACAGTGGTGATGAAGAACTGGGCGCCGTTGGTGTCTCGTCCCGAGTTGGCCATGCTGAGGATACCCGGTCCAGAGTGGCGAAGACGGAAGTTCTCGTCTTGGAATGTGGGCCCATAGACGCTGAAGCCGCCGGTGCCGTCACCCCTCTCGAAGTCGCCACCTGGGCAAGGTCACGAGGTCACACCACAGGTCACGGGTGACAAGCTTCAGTCTCGGGAAGGGAATGCGGCTCAGACAGGGCACTAGGTGGAGCGACCATGTTCGGGGAAAGGGGCGCGGACAGAAATTACCGCCATCATCGTGTAGGACCTTCGAGAGTCACTGGTATGCATATCTGTCTTATGGTCCAGATCAGTAGTGACGCTTAGGGAGTTGTGCTGGCTGGTGTCATGAATCTCAGGGAAATGTTGCACGCTGTTCGCAAAATCAAGAATGGACAGCCATTCCAGTTTCTGTCACCCGAAAAGTTTCGAAAAAATGTCACCGAAGACGAGGCCCTCAAGTTAAGTTTTCGGGCAATTATGCACAATGATGACAAAAATGGCGTAAGTTGTTAAGTGCATTCTCAAGGAACACTATTCACATCGATAAGGCAGTAGTAATAGCCTTATTCCTCGGAGAACAGCCAGGAGATTCCATGTTGTCTGACCATGAAGAGAAGCTCAAGAACACGAAATATCAAATATGCGTTGATATTTCGGCAGTATTCCTTTATCGAAAAGAATTACAGAAGTCATCACTTTCATCATCACAATTTGTGATTTATCACAATTCATCACTGGCGTCGAAGCATGGGTGATACATAGCGAGCCTCGATTGCATGATATATTGGAAGCTTATGTGCGTGCATGACATTTTTAAAAAAAATTTGATCCGAACCCTTTGAATGGATGGATTTCTGGGATCAGCGCTCACGCTAAGCAGTGCTTGTTTTGTGAGCCCTGACCCGTACCATCCGATCGCGCAATTCCAGGCAACGGCAGAATTTAGTGGCGAAAGCTTAACGTGCCGCAATGCTCGGCACGGTCCGTCCTGCTCTCTGACGTCAACTGACCTTTAGCGCGACCGCTGCCACCGGCCGCAGGCCATACCTGTCAAGGGCAAATAGCGAGCGCCCTAAAGCGACTCGAACCCACCCCGCCACGGGTGGGTGAACCGGGAGGCAGGCGCTCTAACCAACTGAGCCACCGGGACGGGCCAACACGGTGAATTGAGTGGATTTGAGTGAGTGGAAATTATTAACAGGTACCCCGTTATAAAACCTAGCTTTCGAGATGCCAACAAGTGGCATGTGTTTGGGCGCCCAAACTGCTAGTCAAGCGCCAGCCCGCGCACTGTTTAACCGTTCAAGCCAGCAAACAGTGTTACCCCAGACGACGCTGCAGATCCTCTCAACATGCCTTTCCAATGCCTGTTGAGCACCCATCCCTGCACCATCCGTAAGGTGCGTTACCAGCGTACAACCCTCAGAGAGTAGTAACACAACTTCTTCTCGACGGGTGAGGGGAGAACACAGCAAGCGTATGGCAGACTCGTCTATGCCCTCGGCCGCAGACAGCGACCTCTCTGCGGAAGCCTCGGACACCACCACTGAGCACCGCCGCCCCCGCAACCCACAAAGGCTGCGTCTCGGCCGTCCTCTCCCTCGGAGCACCGCCGTCCCCGCAACCCACAAAGGCTGCGTCTCGGCCGTCCTCTCCCTCGGAGCACCGCCGCCCCCGCAACCCACAAAGGCTGCGTCTCGGCCGTCCTCTCCCTCGGAGCACCGCCGCCCCCGCAACCCACAAAGGCTGCGTCTCGGCCGTCCTCTCCCTCGGAGCACCGCCGTCCCCGCAACCCACAAAGGCTGCGTCTCGGCCGAAGTTCCTCTCCCTCGGAGCACCGCCGCTCCCGCAACTTACACAGGCTGCGTCTCGGCTGGAGCGCCGATCTCTCGGGCACTGCTGGCTCTCACCCTGGATCATGAAGTTCCTGATCACTCGGTGGAAGATGCTGCCCTCGTAGCGGCCGTAGTGGCCGTCGAGTGTTGCTCCCTCGGTGGCGAGCAGCACAAAGTTGTTGACTGTGCGTGGGACGACGTCTCCGAACAGGCCGATCTGGATCCGGCCCTCCAGGCGATTTCCCACGGCAATGTCGAAGAACACCTCCTGCGTGACGCGCTCGCCCCGCACCTGCTGTAGAGACGAGGAGTCCATTCGTGAGGTGGGGTGACGGGGTATTGGCTACAGGGTCGAACGCCATCGAGCGTGGCAAGCGCGCGTGCTATGCCATCATGTCGTGGATCTTTGGAGAATGACCCAAACAACACTGGCGTTTCGAGCCGTTTTGGCAATGTATATTTTGCCTCTATACTTTGTCTTTTGTTTGCATTCTTGGTGTGTTTGAGGCTTCCTGGAACCCTACATATTTCATCAAAATTCCTAACAATTTTAGGAATGGTTCATAAGTTACCTTACGCATGGAGAGCATGAAGATTATGATGAAGCGTACCTGAAGCGTGATGAGCGGGAGGTTTTCTGGACAACATGAGATTAACCAGGTACAATCATGCTAAAATCTTTTAAGATTATTTAAATTCTTACAGGTCCATCTATTTGACCTCCTCTACAACAGTACGCCGTTTTTTGCGCCTCTTGCTCAACTATGGGTCAAATGACGTAACCTTTTGAGACGTTACGCTTCACCCAGCAAAACCGGGGGAAGCGAGCTTCTATTCAGCACAACCAGAGCGCAACCAGAGGGAAAGGTGAATATAACCCCAAAAATGTACGGTAGCTCAAGGACAGACCCTACATCCCTAAAACTTTTCTTTCGTGGCCGACTTTATAAAACATGGCACTGCTGCATCTTGCCGACGTTATGGAGCTGGGTGATAATTAACGAACTGGTTTGAATTGCTCTCTGCGAGAAATAAGCCAGCGACAAACAGCAGGTGAACCAAGAATCTTTAGCACAGGGTTGTGAGCAGCTGGATATCTATGAGGACTCGGTAAAATTGCGTTTAATTTTATGTTGTTTTTTGGTAGGTTTTTGCAGAGCATGCCATAGTATGATGTTTTTGTGAGCCTTTGTCTCAACTGCATTACCACTATCGGAAACTCACCCTTTACCTTGTGGAAGAAAGCTAGATCGATGGTATGGAAAAAAGAAGAATTTCTTACTGCTGATATATTCATGTGTACCGAAAAATAGCACATAGCAATAATGCGTACCGCATCCAGGATGGTCTACATACAATGCAATCCGAGAAATTGTTGTTATCAGGAGCCCACTCAAATTATCTATCGTAAAGCGTAGGTAAGACCACACATTGACAGATGCAACATCTTGTCGAAAGAATGATGTGACGCCAAGTACTCAATACAATTGTGCACATGGCAAAGACTCGTTCGGAGAAGCAGCCCAAGACAGCCCAGATTTGACGTCATGTTTTGCAAATAGAAAATGCTTTATGGTTCAGGAAACCCACCACACCAGAAAGAACGAAGAAATGAAAAGGAATTTGTCCTATAAGAAATGATGGCAATCCTTTGCGCTAACATGGTCTGTTCTAGTGGCAGGCGTCAAGGCAGTTGAGTTTGTTCCCACGCATAAAATAGCCGGCATGTATGCCTATTACTGCGTTTCCCAGCTAGAAACATAAAAACGTAATTTGACAAGTGTGTGGTACTGCATTCGAACTTCATTCACACTATCAACCGAAATCGCACAGATCAAATGTGCAGGGTTTTCCTGGTGAATGCAAATGATATTCATTCGCATGGATCTCAATCTGTTTAACTAGTACATTGCATGCTGAATACTTGAAAAAAAAATAGTCAACATGGGCAAACGTTGCTTGCCATTATGGTGAAAATTGTCAACACCCGCAAGAGTTACTTACCATTAAGGCAAACACACCCAGCAGGAACGTAAATTGGACGCCTGTCTGCAGTGTCATCTGAAACAGACGTGCATGGCTGATTTGCCGCATGCATACCATACACAACGGAGAGCTGGCTTGTCAACGTCCGTGGTGGGGAAACGGGACGTGGTGTTTCGTCTCTGTGGAAACGTCAAACATGTGGTGCAGACTATGGGCGCTTATAAGGTACACAGCTTTCCTAGCATTAAGGCAATTAATTAATGCATGTGACCCGTGCCCTAGTATCGTCCAAGGTTCAATTATTTGTCGTAGCTGATCGTAAAAAAGCATTTGCGCGGAGGTCGGGCGCCTTATATTACTGAAAAACACATTACTGAACGAGCCCTCCAAGCAACGGTGTGCAAAGGAACACGGTCAGCGGCAGCTGTGTTCAGTTCATTTACGCTGATCGAGTGCTATAACCTACCAGCAAGAGAGAGAGAGAGAGAGAGAGAGAGAGAGAGAGAGAGATGAGAGAGGAGAGAGAGAGAGAAGAGGAGAGAGAGAGAGAGAGATGAGAGAGAGAGAGAGAGAGAGAGAGAAGATAGAGAGGAGAGGAGAGAGAGAGAGAGAGAGAGAGGAGAGAGAGAGAGAGAGAAGAGAGAGAGAGAGAGAGAGAGAGAGAGAGATAGAGAGATGAGAGAGAGAGAGGAGAAGAGAGAAGAGAGAGAGAGAGAGAGAGAGAGAGAGAGAGATAGAGAAGAGAGAGAGAGAGAGAGAGAGAGAGAGAGAGAAGAGAGAGAGAGAGATAGAGAGAGAGAGAGAGAGAGAGAGAGAGAGAGGAGAGAGAAGAGAGAGAGGAGAGAGAGAGAGATAGAGAGAGAGAGAGAGAAGAGAGAGAGAGAGAGAGAAGAGAGAGAGAGAGAGAGAGAGAGAGAAAGAGAGAGGAGAGAGAGAGAGAGAGGAGAGAGATAGAGAGAGAGAGAGAGACGAGAGATGGAGAGAGAGAGAGGAGAGAGAAGAGAGAGAGATATATATATATATATATATATATATATATATATATATATATACAACAGGACTTAATCTGTCCATAATACTTGCTGTTAAATTTGATTTGCAAGCAGCCCTAATAATAATCACGAATAACATGAAAAATAACTTAGATAGCACTGTGTCTTAACAGTGATAAGCTGCGCCTTGATAGGCCATGCTAACTCTAGGCTGCTACTGAGTTAACTCGACGCGGAAAGAACGCAGCCGGACTGCCTCTGGTAGCTTACTGGTGCATGCGTACCGAGGTGGCTTGTCTTATGCAGCGGTCGGTAGTAGTGGCGCTGCCGAAAATCAGATACAGCAATCATTTAGGCCAGAGCATGATGGAACACCAGCTCATTGGATTCGATGTAGAATTCAGTTACAGAGAAAAGTGTTCCGCAACCTTGCGGATAAGCTAAGTTTTTGAATGCGTGACACAAATGGCCTTGGCTTAAAATGCAGACAAACAAATGAAGTCTTAACATTTTCAACTTTTTACAATACTAGGGGAGTGTTTTAAAACAGAAACTTAGCCGCGGATAGGAGGGAAGATGTTTTATCTTTAGCTTGCCTGTCGGACCCTAAGTATTTGTAAATTAGCGTCACGTGAAGCAATCGACTGCTACTGGAGTCGTGCGTAACAGTAGATCCATTTGCAGCGACACACCGTCGTCAACTGGGAAAGAGGCGGAGGCATAGGAGTGGTAAATTATATCTACACGGTGTCCATGTAGGCAACAAGCATACGGCGGGACATGTGCATTGGCTAACCGTTTCAATGTCGAACTCGTTATTTACGTGTTACAATTCTGGCTTCGATAGTTTTAGGCGCTGGACTGCGTTCTGGAGAAGAGCATGAGTGTGTGTAAGGCGGTGCCTGAAAGGAAAACATTGGGAGTGTTCCCCCAAACAGTAAAAAGGCTTCATTCTCTGTTTACTTTTTTATTTCACGCGTCATTAGGATTTCGTCTTTTGTAGAGAACTACATGCCGCCTACCGGTCGAAACCAGTCTTGGGTAAAGGTACCGACAATGACGTGTCGCACCTTTACCCTAGGCCGAGTCGAGGACTGGGCCTACGCTGTAGGGCTGAAGGCGGGGCCGGGCATGGGAGCCTACACTAAATGGTCATACTCTTAAATGACACTCGGCACCAACAGCTCACAGCGTAGATGTGAAGGCGAATGTTCATTAAGCGTTTGCGCCGTTCAAAAAGGCGGCTGTAGTGCGTAAGCCATCGCTCCATATTTTAAAACGGCTTAGAAGTTTTGTGTTATTCGACAGCAGACTGACCCGAAACGTCACCAGTGCCCTATCGGTGCACCGACCCAACAGGTGTCGAAGAGAAACGCGATGGTCGCATGCACACAAGTTCACTGGAGGGAAAAGCTATCAAGCAGTTTAGGTATAAGTTGTGAAGTCGCGTTCCAAGCATTTGTTGTTCAAGCAATGCTTCAAGCATTTACAACTATTTCTAATAAAGCATGTTCATTTAAAGAATCCATTTGAGATGGAGGACGGCTTGTGATAGTAATAATTACTTAATTTTTTGGAAATCCAAAGTATGTACAACGAAAGATGAATGTTTCAAATGTGTCAAACATTCCTGCCGACGATCATACCTAACACCGATATTGCGAAATAGCAAGCAATACAACCAGACAAAGCAAATATCAGTGCAGTAAATGCAAGTCCGCAGTTTGAGGCTTATCAAAAAGTAAAAAAAAAAATGCCGCTACGATTCAGTAGCTTATGGGTTCGTTCTTAATTAAGGAAAGTATTCGTCTACCTACTTGCTAAATAAAGGCTAAAATTGAGTAAAAATGCTAAGCAGTTTACACGATCTAAATGCTAAGCATCTTTACGATGGCCCACCCCACGCGGCTACTTAAGGCATTTCGAAATATTTTGCATCTAAATGTCTTGACATAACTTGAAAATTTATGGATTCATGCTCAAGTGTCTTTAACCGAACGTTTCTTGGTTAATGAACTTTATGGCGATCGCTTTACCATAAGTCTTCAAAAAAATATTACAATTCCTCGTAATCTTGACCTTGCTAATTTTGAGCAGCATTGTAGCATGTTTTACAAGATTTCAAGCAGTTTTTGTGGAAACCGTTGTTGTAATAGGGGAAAACGTGCCACAACCGAGCCGTGTAGCCTGACACCACATGTCGGTAAATAGAATAAGATTTAAGGCCAAATAGTCGATCTGCGTGCCGATGTGATCATAGTGCTTATAGTCATGAATCATAGTGCTCCCATTGCCGATGACTTCGTATCTCAAAATGCCTACCTTCTTCAGAAGATATTCACTGTCCCAAACGAATCACGTAAGCCGCACCAGTTCTCGAACGTCACGACTTGGCCACGAAGTCTGCCGCGGCCTCTTCGCAGTGTTCGTCGCGGACTGAGCCTGGGCCCGCGTCGGACACGACCTGCCTCCGGCGGGTTCTGCGACCGACTGACGTCTGCTCCCGGCTCCAGCAGGTCTCACCCGCTCCCAGCGACGCACGACCACGTCTGGAGGAGTGGGGGGGGGGGGGGAGGGGGGCAAACACAGACACGCCCTCCGGCCGCTCTGGCGGGGCGAGTCTGGAGGCCTGCACGGAAAACTTGACGAAAACCGGACGATGTGGTGTGTGCGCGTATTTGGTAGCGGGGTGAGGTTGGCGGAAACTAGTGCGGAAATAAAGAAGCTTAAATGGCCGTACTTAGTCGCCGTGTATAGATATAGAGACTTTTTACTGGTAAAGATCTGACTGGAGACACAATGACCAGTTAAACACATACCTTTTTGTCTCGCCCAAATGGCGTTCTGTTTACATTGAAATATTTTAGTCTTTGAAAGGAGCACATCGCATATGTTCATCGCGCAGTTCAACTGAAAGGGCGGTGCAGGCATAAGAAAGGTTGACCGTATGTACACAACACCCGTGTGCTCTTTGGTATGGGAGTGGGGAGACGCGACCTTGAAATAATCCTCAAATGTGTCGCATGGAATCGGCATTCCCAAATATCTTTGATTTACCTTCCCAAAGGTCACAGCCGGTGGTTTTGTCTTTGCTATTTGCACCATACCAATGTCGAAAACACTGCGAATGCAACGCAGCCTTCAACGCATGGGAAATACCTGTAATGTGTGCTTTACTGCTGTGCTATGAAAGCATAATTTCCCTTTATTTCTTTGAAAGTGTTGTTAAGTTTCTCTCATGATGCATACCAAATAGAAGCTTTCACGTAGAACAGAGCCTGTGCCTAACAAACCAAAGTTCAAGACTTCCAGAAATGCTTCGTAAGTTTTGGGAGCTGCGCATGAGTAACAGCCGACTCGCAACTTCTTCTGATGAGATTTTGATATCAGGATAGGTTTGATAACACGCATAATTTGTAGTTTTGAGTGACTGATGATGATGATGATGCATTTTCCTAGCAGCGTTTTAATAATAAGATAATCAACTAATAATCCTTAACACAGACTAAGATACCACCACAGACACCACACTACACACACACACACACACACACCACACACACACACACACACACACCACACACCGCACACACACAAACACTGCGATCAAACTAAGAGTGTTGTTCGTTAAATGGATCTAACGCGCTCACGTGCGTTCACTTATGAGGCACTTCCTGCGCTTTCGCCTGAAAGTACCACTAGAATGACATCTTCGTGACCTTCATGCCCACGGTGGCCTCCTACTTATCTGTCCCCTCTCTTAGAAATAGTTCTCTGGGCTGCTCGGCCGATCACCGATATTCAGCGAGTTAAACAATGCTCTTTTAATGATAAACATCATCAAACAGCAAACTTAACATCAAACCGCGAAAGAATGAAACGCAGTTTGCATTTGTTTTGAGCGAGAAGAGAACATCAAGGCGTCTTCGTCAGGCGCCTTCGTCGATGCGCCCTCAGTGGCACATCGACGCGCCGCGGTGCCCGTGGCATGGCGTCCCTCACCTAGCCTAGGAAGGCACTTCTCTGCTCCCGGCTCTAGCAGGCCTCACCTGCTCCCAGCGACGCACGGCCACGTCTGGAGGGGGGGGGGGGGGGGCATAGACACAGACACTCTCCGGCCGCACTGACTGGGCGAGCCACGTGGCCTACACTGATAACCTGCCGAAAACCGTGCGAGGTGGTGAGGCGTGCATGTGTTGGTTGTCAAAGGGGTTGGCGGAAAGTAGCGCGATTGTGGCTCCTGGCTGATGAGGGCGTGATGGCCATACGGCTCTCACAGCATGGCCGGAGAACAGGGGACAGCTGACTTCTGCCGTTTTGCAGAAACCGGAACGAGTTTTTTGGGTACTCAGCTTGTTCCAGAGGAGATGATCGCAATCTCGCAAGCGCAGTATTGCAATAGATTCGCCTATCGCCATATATAGATATCGCCATATCGCAAACGATCTATCCCGGTAACTGTAGACGAGAACGGAGAGCAAATATGAAAAGTAGACCACGCGAAGGTTGTGCCTGCCCGCTCTTAGCCACGCAGCCTGTACTGGCAACGACAGTTGGTCCTGAAATCAAAGCACAATTTTTGACTTCAGCAGATTCAAGTAGCAAATATTCGCAAGCACGTAAGTTCCTCGATGCATTTGCAAGGAACATAATTTACATAGATAAGACAGTAGTAACAGCCTATTCCTCGGGAAAAACCAAGAGAATGGAGACATAATGCATCGATGTTTCGGTAACATGCCTTTATCGAAACAACAACAGAAGTGTTTGATATAAGCGATAAGATGGCAGAGGCCTCTGCTATTGTTCCGATCAAGGCATTGTTGTCAGCACGCCCAGCCGGCCCGGTGACACAATGTTTTGTCGCGTCTGCCTCGGACAGCGGGGGCAGGACGCCACTGGACCCGGTCCAATACGGATCGCCGCGTCGCTACACGTCTCTCTCCCTCTGACCGAGCTGAGCCGAACCGCTGCACGAAGGCATCACAGGCATGTTGCCGAAATATAAATCCATCTATATCTCCATTCTCCTGGTTTTCTCCGAGGAGAAAGGTTACCACTGCTGTCCTATCTAGCGGATATTCAGTATAAACATTTTATATTGCAGCCAACGATACCGACAACATTCGCCACACCTCACGAGGGCTTGTCGATTTCAGTTGTGGAATGCTCGCCATGCCCGTCGTAGACCGACAACCAAGCCAAATATGAAATGATTGTATATCACACGTGCGTTGCAGTTGTGTTAGATGGTGCAAACGTTGACAGACTGGCCACTGTCAGATGGTAAGCACACAGAAGCAAATAATCTCGCGACGTTAAAACCCATAAACAGCATGCCAGATCTCCAGCCAGCACAGGTCGAAATGGATAACGTAGATAGGGAGCTTCAATGGCAAGTGTGAAAGATAAGGAAGTGACACAAATGTGTTAGGTTTAAAATCATTTAGCGAGTATATGGAAACATCAGCCTAGTTTCGCTCTCTCCGCGCTAAAACAAACAAGCATGTTGAGTTTGTTTCTTAAGGAGAGCCGTACATCAATGAGATGAACTCTGCACAAGTCCTCACTCATCACCCACGCTGGGGTAGTGAAAAAGGCGGCACCTAATAGTCGCGAGGTTGCGGATCTATCACTCGCAGCACCCCGGCACTCGCCGGCGCTGGGATACATGCTGACCACGCGCCAAGCGCTATCAGATGCAGCCACGAAAACCTTGGTTCTAGGGGAGGGGGGCTACAGCCAAGTTTTTCGTTTTTCACCATAAATGGCTCGTGGCAGAAGCTCGTGAAATTCAGTACATTCTGTTTTCGGCGATCTCGTGTCAGGCACTTCGCATGACCCACCATCGCCCAACAGGGGCCGAAGAAGTGACCGGCCGGACACTTGTGTGGGAGCAAAGACGGCTGACGATGGCAACAATCCACGTGACTTATCCGTCTATACTAGCTGCTGGTCTCAAACACTCACTATCATTCATGTGGCCAAATACCGCTCTCAAAACCTGTTGCACCCAGCAGTTTGTCACTAAAGACAGCATTCAGTACAAATCAGCAACAGTCCGCAAATGTTTAAAACCGTCATCAGTCGGCAGGTTACAAAACTGTTCTCACTGAGCCAAATGAAGAACCAATCCGCGAAATGATTCACCATGTGATACAGCTGTCCGCGATTTCGCTGGAGATAGGGCGTCTAAACTCCACCTTTCCTACTCCTTCCACCACCAGCACCAAGCTTTAACCATTTCCGGACGTATTCAGTCGCGAACTTCCACTTGTGACGAGCACAGGATGCTTCCTATAGGCTAGGTCCTATATTAGGTTCGCATGTCCGTGTTATAGTTTCAGCGTGACTAAGCTAGTTCAGCCATGTGTTGATGAACACACCGCACATGTGTTGGCTGAACTGACCACACAGCTCGACTTGATCATGATATGATCTTGACTTTGAAATTGGGTTAACAATACGGTTCGTTGATGAATCAAAAGAGCGCGTCATTGCATGTGTTGCGTATTGCAAAGACCCCTGGCCCCAACAATGAGCGTATAAGTGTTTGGAAACCGTCGGCAGGTGTTGATCATTCGGGATATCTTACGTGACCTCTGGCGTCATAAGTAACATGACGTGTTAGAGTGTTTGGAAACTGCTAACAGATGTCGATAATCCGGGGTATCCTACAGGACCGTTGCAGTTATAGGCCACGAGAAGATCTAAAGCACCACAATGTGAAACACCCCGAGCGATACCCTCTCGACCCATAATATACGGCATCTGGTCAGCCATCTGTCTTCCCATTCTCTCCAGTCCCACAGCGCCTGTAACTGCCGTGGTTTGGGGACGCGATGGTGCGCCATGGCGCGAGTCAAGTCTTAACCCGCGCTTACCTCGACTCGACGCGCCTGCTTACCTCTGTTTGGACACCGCACCACCAGCCCACCAGCCAGCGTTCATGACCGGCAACGGCTGCCCAGCCGCTTTCAGCGCACTGGCAGCGGGCACTCTGAGTACGCGTACACGGAATTCAGTGTGAAAACACGGCCCGAGCAGCGGCACGCCCGGGTGTGACGCTGCAGTGTCCGGAGTAACGGTGAACTAGTTAACCGTCGTGTTCGCATACCGTGCGTGTGCGGCATCTGCAGAGGCGCACCCCCGGCTGTTCCGGTCCAGTGCTGCAGTGTCTGGAGTAGCGGTGGACAGTTAACCGTCGTGTTGGCATACCGTGCGGGTGCGGCATCTGCAGAGGCGCACCCCCGGCTGTTCCGGACCGGTGCTGCAGCGTCTGGAGTAGCGGTGGACAGTTGACCATCGTGTTCGCATACCGTGCGTGTGCGGCATCTGCAGAGGCAGCAGGCCGCCAGTGTGAGCCAAGCAGCTGAGTTGTCCAAGCTGGATGTACAGACATCGATGGGCATGCTCAAATCGATCAGGTCGTGTAGGTAAGGATGTGCTGTCAATAGCAAACTACGAATGGCGTACT